GGGCTTGTTTGGTCTCCCCAGCCTGTGCAGACCTCTCCATGGACAGGAGGCGTACCTGCGTCTCTCACCTTGGTGCTGAGCATTTAACTCAACGGTCCTTTACGAACCAACTTTCCTTTCTAAACTCAGGCCACGCATCCAAATTCCCCTCGGAGAAACCTGTGTTGGTCCATTTAAGCCAGTAGCTTGTGCGGAACATACGGGCATCCGGGAGAAAGAGATGGAGAGTCCTAAAGGGCACCCTTACAAGCAATAAAAGTCTTGGAAGCACTCTGGTCTCATGGCTTTCTCATTCCAACTGCAAAATAACCCCAGAGCTTGGTAACGTGTTCCATTGTAACTCACTTCAAAGCCCTTCTCCGCAGATGTCCTGTGCCTGGTGCGTCAGGCTGGTTTAACATCAGCCCTTGGGCTCCTCCCAGCTTCAGGGCCGAGTACCGTGACTTTGGGGATCCCGGGGCACAGGTGCCACTTAGAATCAGCTGTGGAGGTGCCCAGAGTGTGGTGCTGAGGGCTGGAAGTCTGAAAGTTACTTAGCTTCCCTTGGTGAAGAAGGGGAATGAGAAGGTGAACTTGTTAGGATGTCACTAGTTACTGTCCAGAGTAGGCAAACCAAGAAATCAAAGTGTAAGCTTATTATTAAGAGATGGAGACAAGTAGTAGAAAAAAACAGCAAAAAAATTATAAACGGTTGCCTTAAAACTAATAGACGGTGACAGAAGTCAGAACAGTGGCTAATAACTGGGGAGGGGCATCAGGGGAAATTCTAGGGTGCCGGAAATGGTCTAGATCTTGATTTGGGCCGGGCTGGGTACACCCACGTAAAATGTCATAGAGCTATTATACTTAAGGTTAAAAAGTAACATCTGTCCCCAAAGAACAGGAATAAAGTTACCAGGAGACTGATTTTTTTTTTTAATGAAAATTGGTCACTGGGTATGTAATAGCCCAAGGGGCTAAATAGTTACCTGGGGACTATATTTAGAAATTTACAATAAATGCTGAAGTAAATGTTGTATATTATCCATCATCTGATTTATCTTCTCCCTTGAAAGATTCCTTAGCACCCTGGCTAGGGTGGCTCAGTTGGTTGAGCGTCTTCTGCACCAAAAGGTCACTGGTTGGGTTCCTGGTCAGGGGACAGACCCGGGTTTGGGGCTGGATCTCTGGTTGGGGTGCCTGCGGGAAGCAGCTGGTTGATGTTTCTCTCTCTTCCTGTCTAAAAAAATCAATAAAAACACATTTTTTAAAAAGGCCCCTTAGCGTATTTCTCCGCCTCTTCCCTTGTATCTTTTGGAATAATTTCATGTCATCAATGCAGCCAAGTCCAGTTCAAAAGCTTCACCCTTAACTTCATCGTGTGGGACTGATTTTTCTAAAACATACATCTTTTAGTAGTACTAACTTAAAACCATATGCACATTTAAAAATGCACCCATATCCATGGACTACTTTGATAAAAAAAAAAAATTAGGCTTTTTTAAAAGGTCCACGAGATTCTGACTCGAGAGCGACCAGCTTCAGAAATGGCTCTGACACTGCCTCCCCTTCCAGCCTGTCACGGGCCGGCGCGGTGGGACACGCAAGTTTCGGCCTCACCTTCAGAGCATCTTTCCCCTCCTGCGAGACAGAAGCTGGGCAAGCCACTCAGCCGGTTGGCCCGCATGGAATTCCTCTGAGTAATTCCTCTAGTCTCTCTGCCCACCGGGCAGTGCCAGCTGCTCGCGTTCAAAATTCACAGCTAGGAATGTCGCACCAGCCCGGGCTCGGGCCGTGCAGCTTTGGAGACCAGCCTCCGACGCGCTGCGGCCTCCCAGAGCCGCTCTGGGTATCGTCTGTTGAACAGTCGCCTGTGTTAAGCACACGGAACTCACTGTCCCCCAAGTACTGAGTTTCTGATTCAGTGGGTCAGGGCCCCCACGTGAGGTTTCTGCCTGCTTTCTCGGTGATTCTCATGCAGAGGGGCCAGAAACCACGTTTTGAGAAACCCTGTCTAAAAGAGCCCATCTTGCTACCAGGAACAACCCCC